ACAAACCCACACATATGCACGTAAACTAAAACACATTAAATAAGGTGGATTTATTTTACCTGATCACAAGCTTGTTTTGCTTCGCGCCCTATTTTAAGTTTACAGGTTCGATTTACTACTGTATCTTAAAGGTAAATTATCCAGTAGCTGGTGGCTCTGACTGAGGAGACTAAACTTGCAAAGTCTACACTGCACAACACAATCCCTTCTGCTGATTGCCCATTAATGAGATAACTATGATAATCTGAGACAATTCAATATCCTTCTAAAAATATACATTTAAACCAAATAACCAAGCCTGATATGGAATTTATTTCTCTGTGATGAAACTAAATGCCGTTCAGGCCTTGGTATTGATACTGCATGAGAAGTTGATATTGCGTGTATTGAGCAGCTATTGTTCAGTTTTGTCATCAGTAGGGATTTTAATGTTTGGATATCATGTGAGGCTACGAGACTGTAAATACTTGGATAACTGCTTTTCAAAAACGAAGTAGCCAATGAGCAAAGGAAACAGAACTATATCGGACACTATAACTTTCACAAAGTACCTCAGCTGTTAACTCTTCTCAGGCAGACCTAATGTAGGAAGCATTAGCTTATAGCCGACATTATTGCTCTCTTTGCGTGGTGGAATGAGATACGTCTTTAAATGATGTCTGAGAGGTCAATTTTCTCCTGCAGCTAATTAAAACACATAGAAGACTCAGGGTTTGAATTATTTCAAATCTATGATGCTGTAATGTAACTGATGTGAATATTAATGTCCCACAATACAAAATGTTGTGAGGCGATACATCTATACAACCGTCTTCATATACAAACCAATTATCACCTTCTCTGCTGATTCTATTCTTGAACAAATATGGGCATAACAATCAACTATCTTATCCATGGTCTGTGTTTGGCTCCAGATAATTTGTGTAGGTTAATTGGCAGACTATTGCCCATGTGTAGAGTAAGTACTGTATACAGAGCTTTCAAATATCCTGATGGTCTTTTCAGTTAGAGTATGATCCATACAGTCTGAGTTCCCACTTTCAAACAATTAAATCAACAGAATGTTCACTGTTAAGATATAATAATGTTGAAAAAGACCTCAAACTAATCTCAGCATATCTATTTCTGCTTCATATACCATCCACTCATGGCTCTTAAGGTGCGGCAAAGTTTATGAAACAAAAAGCACTTAGTTCAGGTAAGGGTAAGGGTTAGGCACTGAACTACAGTCAAGCATTTTAGAAACTCACCCCTCATTAATGTTGTATTATGTGAAAGACAATTGTTCTAGTACGTTAATTTGCAAACTAATATTCCATGATTATTTTCAATGTGATTTGAAAAGGGTTGTGTAAACAACATAGCGTTATTTACGAAAGTTTGTGACACATGGCCTCTTACCATGTTTACACTCAGGTCTGGGCCTTGGACACAAACCATGTAGAGAACAGTTCACCAGACTCTTGCCCAAAATAAAACCCCATGTTATTTTGGACAGAGGGACAAACACAACTACGAAACATTACATAAGACTTCAAGATATCATTGCTGTTATAAGTTTGGAGGGCCTGGACATAAGGCATGTGTCAATGCATGTATGCATGGCTGCATGCAAACAGCTCAGTGGGAATATTCTCTTTTTTTGCAGTAACCCAAACCAGAATATTTGGTGCATGCAAATATGTGAATGGTTGTTGACCGATGACGTGCTCGGCCAAGAGCTTGTGGATTGACCACACAGACACAGCTCATGGTGAGATCCAGATCCTGCCAGATCGTGGGGCAGCACATAATCAGACCATGTGCTGGATGAAGAAGGAGTTAGAGAATCAGGGACTGGTTTTAATTTCACAAGAACATGAAAGCAATCCTCAATCCAAGAGAGATGGGTGACACTGACAGAAAACTCCAGGCAGTAACAGCAATCAGGCTTTCTTCTTAAAGGTTTGGTCAAGTGTGTGACGACCAGTAGCTACGATAAGCTGCAGCACAAACTTTAGACTTGAAACAATAGTTCAAGGAGGCAGCAGATGAAGGGGAGGGGGGGGGGGGGGGGGGGGAGACTAGCAGGCCTCCTGTCATGATGAAAATGAGCCTTTCCAACATATTATTAACAAAGAAAACCAAGAAACAGGCTGTTGTACAGCTGGGTTAATAAAAGAGGCATTTAGGGTACGACTGAGCTGTTAAATGATGTGCAGGAAGGGGAAGGAGACCTCTCAGCGTTAAGCAAAGCTTTTGTAGTCAACAGCAGTGAATTAACATTTAGTTTCCTGGCAAAGTTTGGTCCGAATATTCCTTCAACTGCTGCCTAGTCAAGTGCTGCAGACTCAAGATCTTTAGCATTTGGGGCACAGGAGCTTTGTTTTGAACTGTATCCATCGAGGGGAGAGTAACACACCACCTTGCTTCTCAGACCCACACACCTGCAGGATTCATGGGTCCTGATAATGAAAAGAGAGATGTGGTTTTCTGCTTATGCCATTTATGTGTCCACGCAGCAACTAGTTGCTACTTGTAGCAGCTGGCAAATAATTGCAGCCAGGTAACCTCCATGCTCGAGGTCCCAGTATGGGATTACAAAGTTCAATAAGCGTATAATTTCTCTGATATTTTCTTGCTGGATCTATGTGAATCTCCACCAGGCTGCATGTAGCTCATAAAAGGAACCCTGGAGGTGGAACATCCTCAGCTTCTGCCTGAAAGCTTGGGGAAGATGAATCTTTTGTTCAATAACCACATCCCAGCGGCCTGCAGAGGTATCATCCAAGCAAAGACACTGCTGTGATCCAAAGAAGAAGAGGATACGGCTCCAGACCACAGTCCCATGTTGACTTCTCAGAACAGCAGAAACGGTTGCAGATTTAGAGGCATGCACAAATTCTCAGAGCATCATATCGACCACAGTTGGGCAAAAAGTCAAAAAAAGATTTATGAAGCTTTAACAGTTGGTCAAAGTTTAGCAAGCTGCATGCATTCAGACTGAATGTCAATTTTCACTTTGCATGTGTATGTGACAGACACATGTCAAAATGTTCCAGCTCTGAAGTTCAGCCTGCTGTTGGAGCGGAGGGTGCCATTGTGATTGGCCTGTCAGCTCTGACAATGGACATTTTGGATTTCAAGACATATCAAAATGTCTTGGCGGAGGTAAGTGGATCGGATGCGATTGTTGGGTACAACATGATGGTAACCCAGGAGGCAGAAGCCAGCCTGCAGCGCACAGCACTCACATGGGGTGATAAACACATGGCCATCAGAAAACTATTTAAGCAGGAAGAGTCATTCTTTACCTCTTAACAGTAGTTTGACAAAATTGCATGACCAAAGGTTCACTTCCAGAAAAAGCTTGTTAGAGGCTGGTGGGATATGAGGATGTTGATTTGAGATTCATTTCTTAGAGAATAATCATTTCTATCAACAACAATATAAACTGTTGGCTATGACATTCTTTTCATGGGTTGGTAAATGTAAACATCATATCTATAAGATATACTGTTGAATTTTCCCTTCCAAAATCTAAAATTCAGAAAGTTCTCTAAGGCTATATGCACACAGCAGTCAACACATGAAAATGAATTCTACTGGGCTCCATGCACGTGTTACACTATTGTGTAAACACATGCTTTGGAACCTGGCATATGTCAGTTTAACCAGGGACACGGACACAAGTAAATTTCACCTCATCCCAATTATTGTTGTTTTGTGCGATTAGTGCTTGTGCGCCTTTCACAGCACTGTTTGGGATACTTTTGTTTATTCACATGTACGTGGGTATTGTGCTGGAGACGTGAAAGCGAATATAAACAGCATTTACTGAAGCACACCTTAACCAGAATATCAGCTATTATCTAGAGTACTGCCTGCATGTAAATGTTGTCACTGCCTGCTGGTGATTTATATGAAAAAGTCAAGCGTTTCCCTTCCACGTATTCCCAGGGAAACTGTGCCCCAGAGGTTAATGAAGTGTGAAGTGTGAAAACTTCCTGAGATGGGATGAGTTAAATAGTGTTCTCAGATGTTAAAGCAACACTGCCCAAATATATTTGCGTGCGTCAGTGCTTTCTAACTCTTAAATCTGGCAAACATGTCCCATGGGCCATCTGCTACCACTGTCAGGGCTAATGCCATCCTGTGTGTTCCAGTTATTCCACACAAATGGATGTAATAACAGGATTAAAGTGAGGATTGGAATTGAATTCATGGAATTTACTGGCATTTGTTTTACCATCCAGCCTTTATAATGATATGAATATAAATTCCATGCAAAGGTAAAACAAAACCTTTAGTGGCACAATTTTGCAAATTTGATTGAGATCATGAAAAGCTTTTAAATGTCACTTTCAAAAACTAGGATGGGACTCAGTAGCGTGTATACCAATGCTAACAGTCCCCTTATGAATATAATTGATTGAATATAAAAGAATCCTAGTGATGTTTTCAGTTGTGTGTGGGTTTCAATTGGCCCTTTAAATTTAAATACTCTATATTTTGATCGGGAGTATTCAGCTGCCGCATGCAACTTATTTACTTTATATAACTAAATTCTACACACTGAACCTTTAAATTCTCTAGATCCGGATTACTTTCTATTTGAATTAACACCAATGTCCGCACACCCATTAATATCAGTAGCTTTTAAAAGATCAACAAGGAAAATGTTGAAAATTGCTCCATTTAGCAATATTAAAAACAACCAACAAACAAAATAAAAGACAAAATGATGTAAAGCTACACTACAGCAGATCACATGACAATCTATAAATATATCTATAAAGCTCAGAGGGTTAAATGACTGCATTTCCACGATAACATTTGAACACTTTAACAATAAGTGCTTTATTGTCACAGTTTTACTAACTCCCCCACTTACAGTTAATGATCTGATCGTTTGAGTTTAATACAAACAGTTTTATAATAATAATGACAATAACAATATTTTGATCAAATCTTTCCAATGATATATTCCAACCTAAAAGTTTGACCTCTATAATGGATACAGTATGTGCCTAAGGGGAGACTTCACTAATAGACATTTTTGGTTGCAATTAAAAATGGTTCCCATGAAAGGCTTGACATGTCCTCCAAGGCAACAGTCTCAGACTCGGCTCTTTCCTTTAGTCATTAAAGTGGTATTGCAAATGTTCTTAGCACATCCAGGCCAAGACCTCAGATCTCACTATTACATGCACATTATTTAATCCTTGGGCTCTCTGGTAGTACTGACATGTACAATTTCTGTCATTAACGTGCCTGTAAGCTCAGGGATGGACCAGACTCAGAGATCCACTTGAGGTCCAGTTTTTCTTTTAATGGCCCAGGGGATGGAGGGTTCAACTGGGCCTGAAATGTTACTATAAAAGTGCTCTGTAGAGGAGCATGTTATGGCTCTGTAGCCGTCCCAATCGATCACATTAGGGCCAAGGAAGTGGTGAGATGTGACAGCCCAGAAACATTTCAATACTGACACAGTGAGACTGAGAGCTTCAGGCACACTTCTGAAAATAATAAAAAAAAAGCCCTGCATCAGTCCTGTAAATGGGTGTGATTAGTCATAAAGGAGCTTATTGTGCAGAGGCTGGAAGCAAATTAGAGGTGATAGTGGGGCAGAATCAATGCTGTTTACCTCTCGGAGGTGTGAGCATATCCATCAGCCATCAAGGAGGACGGCCGAGGATCCCTTCCCCCCCAACACGTTATTGACAGTTGGAAGAGGACCTGAGGAAGGAACATTTTAGGACATAACATTAATTTCTCGGCTATCGATGAGCAGACAGGGCTTTCAAAATGAGTGATTAGGAAAGGGAGGAAATAATTTGCTTCTTAAGCTGGATGTATGGGCAGTTTAGAGAAATGCATAGAGAACAATCACATTCTCCCTTTCTAATAGTATTATCTTTACAGTATCTCTACAGAGAGTAGAGAAAAGACCAGATACATATCATACATATCGAAACATATCAATATAAAGAGATGAGCCATTAGTTACTTTTACATACACTGTATGCAAATGTATGTATATTAGGGTGTTATTGTTCCTTTATCATACCCTCCATTGCCATGATTCCTCAGTGGGGAAAAGTGTCATAAGTTTAGCTACTATAAACTCAAATGTACAATATTCATTCTATGTTGAAAGTAAAAATTTCTAAAAATTGCATCATTATCCAATTTTTTGCCGTCTATCAATGTGTAATTTGTTCCAATCTTTGTTTCGTTGAGACACAGCTTCCAGCAGAGCATCAAAGAGTGCGACATGTTTGTATTTTCTTGTCACAGTTTGTGCTTCAGTAAAAAAAAATGAAAACATAATTATGTTATTTTGTCAAAGACAGCACCGACCTGCAAGAAACTATTATATTTACATCTTCAAGTTAAACAAAAATTATTATTATAAAAATAAATGTTAGAGTTATCCATGTTTTTCCATACGAAAAAATAGATATATCCCTTATTATGGATGGATGGCATGTTTTCCCCTCACCTGACAATACATCCGTAATGTGACATAAAGACCCTTAAAACCAATGTGTGGTTTAATGTCTGCCTGTTGCAGCAGCACCAATAGCTACTGAATTCTGCTCTGTGCCACGCATGTTTGTCAGTGGTTTTGTCGCCAGCAGCGGAGAATACACCAAACAAGTCAATCACATGGAAAGTCACACACCGGGAGAGAAACAACATTAAGGAAATAATAGTATAACTTCCAGCAAAGAGGTGAGTTGACCTAGTTCTGGCAGTAGACTCACAAGCCCCAGTGAGTCTCAGAGGACTGGATTCTCCTCCAGAGGAAGGTGACTTTGTCCTTGATGGAAGCCAGTCAGTGGCCTCCCCAGTACAATGCAAGTTTTTCCTTCAGACACATACTGTTTGACGCCATGCTCAAGTAGTGGGGTGTGAAGATGCTTTCAGATATGATCTGTAAAATTAGACTGGAATACAGACATTCCGATAATTTGTTAATTATAAGTTTTTGTGGTTTAAAAAGTAAATAAAGATGGACGACATGTCTCCACTTCCTCCTTTACAAAGATGGCTGGATACAGGTGTCGACATCGGGCGTTTGAATGGTAGTGATCACGGGTTCACAGTACCGATAAACACGCTGAACCAATTGCAAGTCAGGCTACTTCCATTCTTCTATATTTTCATTTGAAAACGCATCAACTTTGCTACGGAGACGCCTGGTGTCCACTCTACTCCGGAGTTTCAGAGGAGTTGGGAAAAGCTGCTGGCCCCATTTAAGTATTTATTGGATATTATTTGGAATGTGATACAGGTCGTGTTATTTTATTTTTGGAGTGAAGGCAAAAAGCCAATTTTGAGAGTGTTGTAAGAATGTTTTATATCTTATAGATCATCAGATGATGGGGATGCTAACTTTTGGCCCCAGACATTTAGAATTTTAGCATCAATCTTTTGAAACAAGTGTCTGTTCAAACTCAAGGATCCACTGTTTTGAAAATTAAGCATAAGTATTTTGATTGATAGTGAGCCCATTATTAACATTATACATTTAAAAGAGTCTTTTTATTTCAAATTTATAAGGCAAAACCCATTGTTTTGTGTTAGTCTGCGACCCCTTTTGAAAGTCATTATTTATATTTTGTTAGGGAATTGATGTTAGTGCTTCTCAGAAAGGTCTAATTTAACAAATTAGTCAGAGTGCGTTTTCACACGATTCCTGTGTGGTCTTGTTTCAAGATATTTTCAGATTTTCAATATTGTTTTAGTTGAGATACCTGCTGAGACCAATACAAACAACACTTAAGGAGTTGAATAACTTTGGCAAATGTTCTATCCAAACATCATTAAAAGGCTCCGTTTGGACCAGACAACACACAGTCTCAGACAACAGCCCGATCTGTCACAGATCTTACAGCGTGTCTGCAAATTCAAGATATCCTCCACTACAAAAGCACTTTCCCCACTAATGAATAGAACATGAGCTGAGGAAATGATTCCTTGAATTCTCTGGGCAGATAATGATTCTCGTCTTTATCAGTGGTTTATCTTCTAAGGTCAAGATTAAAGTGAAAAGTGATGTGAACCCCCAGTGTCTCCAATTAAGAGGAGAGCGAGGGGGAAAGAAAAGAGAGAGCAGAGGTGGACTCTTCTGCATTACTCGGCTCTACAGTCCCTCAAGTATCCCTGAGAAATAGAAAACAACACAATTAAATTATGACACCTGACACTTAGACCTCACATCAGTGTGAATCATAATGGACTAACCACTGAAAGTGAGATCCTGTCAGACGATTAATGTGATCACACACATTAGCACCTTTCTAACTAGAATTTTTTGATTTCCTCTTTCTGCTGTTTTTGATGAAGACTTTACAATAGATATTTACAGAAACGGCATGGTTGAAACTTAAAATAATGCAAAAAGAAGCCACTATATTGCATTGATATGTCTCCATATATATCTATTAAAATGTTCTGAGTGCAAGAGCAAACCCTCAGCAGGAAGCCAAAAGGCGGAGGCAGCCCGGTCTTTCCGTTTCTGCTGTGCACCCGTCGTGTTTTCAGACCTAATAAAAGCTCTTCATGAGAGAGGTGTCAGGATCTGGAGTCGGATACATGGATTTACAAGACTTTGATTTTAAACAAATTTAATTGTGCAGCATTTTCATATTTCTTTTATGAAAATCAAAAATGTGGCCGTAGCAGCAGTAATATAATTCTGATCTCTGTCATGGCAACAACATTCATAGAATCACTAACTCTTTAGCAATTTGTCTTCAGTAAAAGCACAACGTGTGTTTTGTTGCTGCACTGCTTAAAAATATTATGTCCATTGCTAAACAGACGTCTGAAAATAGCTGACATGTAATGTATGAAAAAATAACACCAGTTAAGTCAATCATTAAAACTAAATAAGTAATTAACAGTAATATCAAAAAGCAATAAAATAGTAATCAAGCAAATTCAATTTCATTTTATATTAAAAACAGTGATAAACCAGGTAGGATGAACACAAATTCATTCTACACCATAGACTCTTTATGTAAGGCTCTGCACACCAATAAAAAGTGACAGTATAAATAAAAGTATTCTAAAATATAAAAGTTTTAAAAACTACAAATTGAAACATTCAGTGTTTTGACTGGAATTGTGACCCATCGGGGACTAAAGTAGGCTCTCAAGTTACACTCCCAGTGTGTGGTGCAAAAAAGTTAAAAATCTCTTAATCCCAGGGACCTGCAGCAGCACTCTCTGTGCTGTGTAGTATGGGCCAGAACTCTTCAGTCAGTAAGTGATGTCAGATATTTTAACAGTAAGAGCATCAACTCAATGGCAACCTCCACCTCAGGGTCCTATTAAGAATACTCAGCACATTTTCATGAGACTCACTACCAGCGCCCAAAATTAAGAGACTTTCAACACCAGTGAAAATAGCAGCGAGTGGTTGAAGGAGCTCTCAATCAAGTGATGAGTGGAGGTGCGACTATGTATATTTTAACGTGTAACCAATCCAATATGTGATAAGATGTCACTCAGATGAGCTTCATAAGGAGCCAGGTGGCGTTAAGATGAAAATCAGTTGACATTGAATGTAAATAAATAGATTTGGTTTTCACATATTGGTAGTAGACTAGTAAGGTAGTAAGTTATTTTCATTTTTCTTCATTTTAAGATATCTTTGCCAATAACTGAGTCATACAAATCCCAAATTAATCAATACGTTAAATCAATAAACTACAGTTGGCCCTTAAAGTAAGACGGTTACTAGCTAAGGTGTCATTACTTATGTTATGAATGATTACAGGATTGTACAAATGCACAAACAAGGAGACAACTACACAAGCTACAGAGACGTCAGCATACTTATTTTTTTAATTCTTATTATTGGGAAAAAGACCATAATGTAAAATTATATTAAACTTCAAATAATAGAATATAGCTATTGTAATTCCCAACATGTTAATAGGGATAATACTCACATTAGTGGGTTTGTTTTTTCGATTGTGCTTCCATCTCAGTGATTCACTTGGAATTCTAACCCTAACCTTCTATCCCAAAGAGAATTGGGACACCCTTGACCCTACACATCTATGCCCACAATGAAATGGTAGGGCAAAGGGGAGGAATTGTTTTGGGCCAAAATGTACAAGCTGAAGATGCAGAACTAAAGCATGCTGGGAATAATGAGAGGTCCGAAAACTCCATGTACAGCCATGGAGAGGGTGGTGGCAGGGAAATAGGATGGGTGTTTCGCTGTGGTAGAGCGCAAACGTCAGCGCAAACCTCTGCCAAGAATCAATCAAACTACCGCTGTTGTTATGCACATCATAGATATCAGTCCCCTAAACATGCAAAAAAAATTTCAGCAAGATCCATGAGTCGTTCCCTGGGAAAATAATCACATATAATAATATCTATCTCACATGTTAAAGAAAGTTGTCATGATTGTCATGATCCAGGTTTAATGGGTTGTTTCTTGGCCCATGTCTCATCCGTCCAACAAGTTTCGTGCAAATCTGTGCAGTTTCTAATGTTTTCAATTTATCAATTGTTCTGTCAATGAGTTTCTTGATTGATGGAGTAGTTGTTTTGTCCAGAAAATGTGAGAAAATTATAAATAATGATGATCAAGAAAAACTGAAAATGTTCAAATTTGTATAAAATTAATTATCTAAAACGTGTGATAATTTAGTAGTAGATTAGTGATAGATTCATTTCTGCTACCCTAAAGCCAACAAACAAAACCTCAA